GAATGTAGAATGTTTAGGAGGGGAGTTACACCGCGATCTTACAGATCTATTGTGTTCCCCTTTCTTGAGTTATAACGAGCTATAACTCATCATACAGTCTCAGGGCTTTAACAAAAGCCAGTATCTAAAACGGCTCTACAGAGGCCAGCTCTCCATCCTCGACATCAGCCGTACCAGAGTTCATGGCACGAACTGTCGTCGTCTCGGCGCACTCAGTGATAAGGTGTTCTGGTGTTTCCCCACTTTCCCCACAGAATCTTCATTCGTCGTTTTTTCTCAGCTTCAGCTTACAGAGGTGTTCGTTGAGAAGACAGTGTCCTGTTAGAAACCCCGTGACAATCCGAAGATTGTTTTTACTTAAATCAAGAAAAATCTTTTTTTTTCTCGGTCGTAAGTTCTGAGGAACTCTTTCGAGTGTCTTAGACCGTTGAAGTCTTCCAGGTTCTTCAGTTCCGTTTTCAGTTGGTTCCCGCTTGGAAAACAGAACGGTTCTGGTCCAGTTAGTGGAGTGTTCGCTCCTTTTCTAGCTAGATAATTTGCTTTTTCATTGTCTTCTATCTCTTGGTGGGCAGGCACCTAGAGTAGGAGGACTTTATTTTCTTTGCCTAATTTGTTGAGCTTCTCTAGGCATTCTTTGACCAACTTCGAATTGATAGTTATTGAGTGTATCGCGTTTAGTGCTGCTTGACTATCGCATAAGATGTTTATTTCCTGTTTTCGACAGTTCCTATCTAAGATAAATTGTACGCATTTTTCGATAGCGTAGATTTCTGCCTGAAGGCTGCTGGGGTAGGTGCACATTGATTCGGAGTATTTAGTTTTCGGCCTAAATACTCCTATCCCTGTCCCTGCTTTGGTTTTGGAAGCATCAGTATACTCAGTATAAGCTGATATCCTGTAGTTTAAAAAAGGAATCCTTCTTTTTACAGATGTTGGCCTGCTGTTGGTATAGTAGTCGGAACCGTGGGGCATGGCCACCCGTCGTTCGAGCTTTCGTCGCCACCGATGTTACGTCCCGGCCGGCGTTGATTTACGCCCGGCTTCGGTTTGCCGGCAACGAACGGTTTGCCGACGACGCACGCGAATTGTCAATAACAATAATTAACTAATTGGCAGATTTGCATAGGACCGTAAATTTTGGATCGGCGCGGCGGCGGCAACCCTATATAGTACGTTTCTCGTCCGCGTGTAGGTTTCATAAAACATAAAACGGGCCCGCTTTTTAATGTATGGATTTTATGTTTGCGCGCTCCCGTCATAGTCCCTTTCTGTGTGTGTTGCCAAGTGTGCGTGCTTGAAGGGGTTTGGTTTTATTTCGTTTTCGAATCCGATACTTGGTCGGCGGTATATCGATTCTGTTTCTAGAAAATACGCAGGGTTGTCAAAAAAGAATGCACCAGACTCTAAATATATTCAAAAATATAAAATTATTATTAAAGCTTCATTCATAACCTCGCAATTAGTGGAATAAATTAGTGATTTTAATTAGCGTAAAAGATTGTTTCTTTAATTTCAATGTAAGCATTCAGAACGTCTAAATTAGTGGTAGCCATTCTCAATTAGTAGAAAAAGTTAACAAACTTTTGACTTTTCCATTAATTATAGGTACTTCAAAGTTTGCGAGGTATGTCATTTTGATCTTTGATTATCATCCGTCAAGAGAAATTGTGGTTAGAAATTCAGTTAGTTCAATCAATTTTAAGAGCCATATTTTAATTCCGATTTAATAATACCGGGTGCGTCTCAAAAGTGGCTCACCCCTATATCTTTTTTATTTTTTCAGTTAAAAAAATGAGATTGGGTTTGGGTATGTTAGTATATGATATAAATTAGGATTGATTGACGTATTCAGTTGTTTTTGGTAACTTCCTGTTTCACCGGAAATGACTACAACTTTGGATTTTTAAATGGCACCCTCGGTATTTTTTTACTTTATTCGATAGAAAATGATATTCTGAATAGAATGACGTGTCAATTTTTGACATTCTCGCTAAATAAAAAATCGTAGGTATTTTAAATTTCAATTTAGAGTGCCACGGTTATGTTAAAAACACTAATTCTTAATCAAGGAACCTTGAAAAAATATATTTTATCGTCTAATGTTTTTAGTCTCTTGTCCTGGCCGGTTAAAAAATACCCAAATAACTACTTAGTCTGACGCTAGATTCCATGCGCTTCGGAAAATACTCGCCTTCTGTCTTTATTCAGTACATCTTATTCTACTAAGCGTGTTGACCGTACTCTTCGTACACATGAAAACATACCAAATCTCGTTTTTTTAACTGAAAAAACAAAAAAAGTTATAGGGGTAAGCCACTTTTGAGATGCACCCGGTATAGATTAGATTTTTTATTCTAGAAATTAATTTTACCCAAAGATATTTAAACTCAAGAGATACAATAATTGTTTACGTTTTTCCTTCATTGGCCATTATTCTATCCTTATTTTCCCATCTCTCTTACACCGAAAATATTTCCCAGATTTACCTGTATATTGGTATTAGTATTCGATTAAATACCACAACCAATTATTAAGTAATAAATAATTTCGTTATATTTCTATAATATATCAAGCACATTAATTTGCTATCGTATGCCCATATAAAATGACAGCGATCTTCATTTTATAACCATCGCTGACGCTGTTTTTCTATCACATTGAGCAGAGGCCAACAATATTTATTTGGAGTTGCAAAAAACACGATTTCGTCTTTTAGTCCGACATTTAATAGTCGGTAATATTATTTTAACAAAAATATTACCGTGAAAATGAAATACCTTACAGATACTCCCGTACTAAGCCCAGTATAAATAATTTTTGTTCTGTAAATAACTTTTTTATCTCCGAGCCCTAGAAACGAACGATCACATTGTGATCCGATTCAATTCCAACGATTCTTTTTTACGGCTCATCGTTGAAATCTTACGGATCCGTGCTGGCCACGATTCAATTGAACGAACCGTATTGTAAGCAATGAATCTATTCTCACGACTTTTTGAACGCACGATCGTATTGTGATCCGATTCAATTCTCACGATTCTTTTTTACGGCTCATCGTTGAAATCTTATGGATCCGTGCTGGCCACGATTCAAGTGAACGAACCGTATTGTAAGCAATGAATCTATTCTCACGACTCTTTGAACGCACGATCGTATTGTGATCCGATTCAATTCTCACGATTCTTTTTTATGACTATTCGTTGAAATCTTATGGATCCGTGCTGGCCACGATTCAATTGAACGAACCGTATTGTTCACCGCAATGAATCAATTCTCACAACTCTTTAAACGCACAATCATATTTTTAATCCGATTCAATTCTCACGATTCTTTTTTACGGGTCATCGTTCCAATCTTACGGATTCGTGCTGGCCACGATTCAATTGAACAAACCGGATTGCAAGTAATGGATCGAATGTCACGATTCATTTTTAATACTCGTTCGAACGAACGATTCGTTCAATCTTTGCCCACCTCTAGCCCGGGGTATATAGTTTTCGGCCCAAATACTTCTATCCCAGTTCCTGCTTTGGTTTTGGAAACGTCACGTAATGGTATGTCTTTAACATGCCGAGCGAACGTTTCCCTCTTCTAATTCTTTTTATTGCTCAATACTACAGTGAGGTATTTCTCAAAGTTGTACATTCTTGGTATGTTGGGAGTTGGAGGAGTTAAATTATCCTGTTAGATACATGCCTTACTAATGTAAGCATGTTTATCAAACTCTACACAACAAATTTCGAGTCTATATAATACCTAATTTGATTGCTACAAGAGAACGATCACCATCGACACGACCAATAGAAAACTTTGAATCCTACACGCTCAGGCCGTTTTAATCCGACAAATTTAACCTTGCCGGATTAATCCGGCATAGGCATAAATCGCGCCAGCGATTGACAAATTCGCCGCATCCATCAAAGCGTCACGGACGCTGATCCGGCCGGGTTTAGCTGCGACGTCATGATCTCTCTACGGCGGCGGCGGGCGTCGCGACGTGCCCCGGCATTTTTACCATTGTTAATTGACTGCCAGGGGGGTGAATTCAGTGCGGGTGGTTAAAGATGGAGTGAGTTGGCGGCGTTTGATTTACGATGCTGGATGAGAGCTAGAGTTGAAGAGATACGATGGGTCGACGTAAAGTTATAGTGAGGAGAGTTTTTTATTTGTATAGAAAAAATACAACTTCCTACCGGTGATATTTCTTTGAATAAATTAATTTAAATAAATTGATTTTTTTTGTTATCAGGTGTATTAATTTAAATACAAATTTGATTACTTTGGGTCCAACATTTTGATTCGCGATTCTCTACATTTTTCCTAAGATTCCCCAAATACAAAGAAAAATGCAGAAAATTTGTCTCTCTTCTTTTATGAAAATCTCATTTTCCTTACTTCAAGCTCTTGATTCTTCTCTAAAAAGTCAGAACATCAATTTGGTTTTATAAAAAATTTCTTAATTTTACGAAACCTAAAGCACTCGTACTTTAAGTTCTTTAGGTTAAAGTATTCGTACCCATTAAATAAAAAAAAATTATATATGTTACCTAAAAATGTAGGCCAACTTCTGCATGTCATTTAATACAAATTCACTTTAAGTCATCGAATGTCAGAGTTAGAGGCAAAAAATTAGTAACATACTGCATTTTACTTGTTTTTTTTTCGTGATTATTTAAAATTAGATTACGGACGTCAATGATAAATTTGTAATGTATCTCGAGTTATTCCAACTACTGAAGAAATAAGATTTATAAGTAACCCCACGACAAATCATGGTCACATAATGAGCGTCCAAACTGATAAAATCTTATACATAGGTATAGCGTAGCGTGGTAAAAAAGTAATATCGGTTATATTCTAAATTCAAGGAATTGAAATTAATGGTAACTATAGTCAGATATTAAATTGATCTGACATTAGTAATATAATAAAATATAAATATTACATTATTATTTTTTATCGATTGCATAGTACGTATAACAATGTTTCGAAAAACTTACCTTTCTAAGTGTTTGACAATGTCTTCGTACGCTGCTCGACAATTTTCCCAAATGCCAGACCTAAAATTAAAAAAAGGTGTTGATAGAATTGTAATAACATTTTTTGTGTGACAAAAAAATGACAAAATTATTTATAACTTCTTAATTAAGTATATACTTTTTTTAAGTATTGTTATTCTAAAATAAGTCCTTTGGTCCTGGTGTATGTCCAAAGTGTCCCATTTATATAACCTATACTTGATGAGTCGTAAATAAGTGCAAATATTTTTAGGGGTAGTATATTTCGACCTCAGAAACACGTCTATAAATTTTTTTTGGCGAAAAAAAAATTTGAAAATTTGGAATTTTTTAGTTTTTAGTTAAAAATCATAATTTCTTGTTAATATGGCAACATAGGTAGTGGACTGAATTTACAAGAAAGAAAACCCAAAAAAAGACCCAGTGATTCTCAAAATTTGACAAAATAGTCATTTTTTTTATTTTCAAAGTAAAATAACTCAGTTATTTCGGACTTATTTAAAAAATGGTAAAGGGAAAATGTGTTTCTGTTACCAAGATCTACCAACCCTGAAAATATTTTCACTTTTTTAAGACTCACCCTGTGTAATAACATGTAAACTCCTCACTGAACTGTATCAGAAGTTCTATTAGAATCCGTTTGTCCGTTTGGTGCCTGAAATTGCGATACTTTCGAAATCACCCCGTATCATTGAATTTGAAATCGCCATGACAGTTATGTTTGCGGCATATTCGATTACCAAAAAATTGAACACACAACCTTGAGATTGGTAGACGAGAGCTGTACCTCTACGCCACCGGGCACAGAAGAAGAAAATAAACGTGATTATTACGATTAGCTTTTCAGATTTTTTCACATCTCACCCTTCTGAGCACTCTGGCCACCAACTTTCCACCACGACTTTTCCTGTTTCAATTATTCACCCGCTCTGAGACACCGGAAAACTAATTTTCTCAATAATCCTCACGTGTTTGTCGCATTAAATATTGCCAGAAGATACGCGGTGCGGAGCGTGTCTTCCAACTTAAATCCGGCCGGAGTCTCGACCAGACACGTAGAGACCGACCGGATTAGTCCGGGGCGAGACGAGCGGGACTGCGTTTTGCGAGAGCATTTGTAACATCACGACCGTCGTTCACGGTCATTATTTTCGTCGCCGGAGGATTTGGACGGCGAATCCGGAACGATTTGTCTGCTCCGGGAGACCACCGGAGCGGGTTAGCGGTGGTGCGGATTGACGTCGGGACGATGAAGGACCGGAGGGAACGGAATTGAAAGGTTTAAGCTGAGTAGGTGTTACGTATTGAAGAATGGTATAGCGTAAATTTAGATATTAGTTAAATTTGACGATACATTTTATGAATAATGTCTATACTTTTGTGGCGAGTTCAATTTTTCAAAAAATTCTGGGTTTTTGGACACTCCAAATGAAATCTAAAAAATAAATAGTATTTTTTTATTAAACGCTTCCGTTAACACCTTCAGTGGATTTTTACTAGTAAAATAAATTGGCCTAACTGACAAAAAATGCTAAACGTTTCTGAATGTATACTCGTATAATGTATAATATAACACTATAAAAGGAATTTCTTGAAAATCGTTCATTGTATATTCCATAGTGATTTTATTATCGCACCGTGTCCTACAATAACAATAATAATATCGTCTTCGCCTTCGCTCTGTTGTCGTCTTAGCGCAGATCTCCAATTAAAATGCGCGCGGTACGAGCGCCCTAATCGCGCCGAAACAAAAGGCTTAAGGCCGCGGCGGAGGAGTCGCCGTCGCGGCCTACCTGGAGAATTAATCACGGCGCTTCCCCGTGACGTGTACACGCATTCGGCCGGGAGGATTTGCATTTTAATCATCGCGGGGAGGTGGGGGGAGGAAAACGGGACGGAGATAATGACGAATGCCGAGGTCGAGAGGAGCAAAGGGTTTGTTTCTTCTCCGCCACCTTGGACGAAAGCAGGTCGCCGGAACGTGCCTAAGGGTGTGGAACGTGTCACTGGAAAGAGGATGGAAAATGTTGGTGTTCGGTTTCATTGAGTGTGTTTCTTTCGATTGTAGTTATGCAATTAAAAACAGAAGCCTAATTAAGTTAACTTTCAATTCGAATTTATAATTTATTACGGATAATACAGGGTGTCCCAGGCTACAATATCTAGATCGGAAATTTTTTGCACATCATGTTTTACAACGAGATCTATCGATTAAAAATATTTTCAATATGGCGGCACTTCCGGAAATACCGGAAGTTAACAGCAACGTTCTTATTTTAAATGGGTGCCCCCATTTTTTATTATATACTTAAATTCTTTGTAAAATTTTATGAATTTTGATCTTAAACACCCTATACCTAACATTAACCGTTTTTGAGAAAAAAACTATTCTAATGCACGCCCAGCCTGGGATACCCTGTATATTACCGTCATCATTATGTTGCATTCATCGACCTAACAAAAGCCATCGACTCTGTAAATAGAGATAAGTGCACTTTGGGCAATTATGCAAAAATTCGGGGTACCCAACCAATTTCTTTCAGTGTTTAAAAACCTCCATAACAAATAACAAGAGTATCACATCATAAATCACTGAGTGATCCCTACCTAATAAATACAGGAGTTAGGCAAGAATGTGTCTTAGCATCTCTCCTATTCAAAATATTCATGGCAGTACTCCCTATTATAGTGAACAGCAAACTGCAGGGAAGAGGAATGGTATTTTTACATTAGGTATAGATACGACGGCGATCTGTTCAACATAAAAAGATTCAGGACAAAAAAACACGTATAAAATTTATCACAGAACTTCAATACGCCGATAACTGTGCTCCAGTTGCAAAAACATTATAGCAATTACAAGAAATACTGAACACATATAGTTGGGAATGCGAGGCTTTGGGCCTTAAGCTGAAAGTCAATAAAACTAAAATCATGTATACTCCCCGGAAAACCATAATAATACTTTAAAAATTGGAGAAGAACTGTTCGAATATCTAGCGCAATTCAATTACCACGTCATGCGTCAATTTGATTTCGGAAAAGGCCAATATGGACTCTGAAATTCAGCACAGAAAATCAAGCAGCACCTCAAGAGCATTCTGGAAATTAATGGAGAGGGTTTTCTACAATCATGACTTGAGCACAAAAACAAAACTTGCGGTGTACCGAGCAATAAGGCATTAAACAAGTTGCATCTTAGACAACAAAGACAACTTATACAACTCTTAAGAATCAAATGGTTCCGCACCAAGTCTCAAACTTATCGGTCCTTAAAAAAGCTAGCTAGGTCCTTGAAAAGGGGGAGCGCTGAAATCACCATTAATAAATTCCGCTTAAGATAGGATGGTCACGTATCTATCACTGGGCCAACCAAAAATCATTTAGGCCTATTATATATATCGTGATTTTTTACTTTAGATGGTTTTCTCCAATATTTTTCTTTCCACTAATTTCCCCATCGTTTTTAGTACGAACCATCGTTCGTAAAATGAATTGAAAAAAAAAACGTTTGCTCAGTCGATAGAAGATCATATGAAAAATAGAGCAGGAACATAACCTATCGTTATATGAGTATTTGGGTCCAAAACTAAATATTCCGAACCAATAGGCCGAAATCTACGCTATCGAATATTATGGCAGAGACGCAGATTACAAGATCTAAGTTAATATTCGAATTTGGTAAAAAAATTTCTTATTAAATTCAGTAATTAAAGAATATATTTACTGAAGAAAAGGTTGCTATTTTTTTCCATGTGTGTGTCAATTATAATAAATATCATACATACCTCGCGATGGCCTCCATCGTGGGCATTCCTTGGTTCTTGATGATGGATCCGTCGTGCCTGCTGAGGTTGTGAGGCATGGCAGGGGACAACAGCGCCGAATGAGCAGCCGCCGGATGCGGTAGTTGCATGAACTGCATATGGCTTAGATGAGGTGGGTGATTGTATCCGTTGGCCAGCAAAGGAGACTTCTCTAATCGTGACATATCTGCAAAAAAATATTTATTTTAGTAAAATTAAAGTGGATAGTCAAGTAATATTTGTATATTGTATATATGTATCAACTATGTCGGTTTTTCTCAAACTCAAGCATTGCATTAGAACCTGCTGATGATGCTAACATGGTGAGCAAAACGGGCGTTCAGTGTTAAAAGGAAAGTGTTTTGCTTTTAACACTTAACAGTCTTACAGTTGAGGGTTGGAAACTTTGGTGTTACACAGCAAAATAAAACACTAAATCACCACAATACACCAAAACACTTTTACTTTTACACTGGACGCGCGTTTCGCTAACCATGTTATCATCATCAGCAGATGATTATAAACTATATATATATTATAACAAGTTTATAATCATCTGCTGATGATGCTAACATGGTTAGCGAAACGCGCGTCCAGTGTAAAAGTAAAAGTGTTTTGGTGTATTGTGGTGATTTAGTGTTTTATTTTACTTAACAGTCTGTTACGCTGTACTGTCCTGGTCGCTCTCAGGGGTCGGTTAAAGCGGGTGTGTGGCCGAAGGAAATATTATATCACTGTTATCACAAAACTACAATCTATTTCCGTGTTGTAACGGAATTTTAAATTATGTCTTTTTTTCGAGAAGATTTAGTCCAAACATAAGGAATATTTTGTTGATGTTTGACCATCAAAATCTTAAAAATAAAGAAGTTGTCTAAAATGTGCTACAATACGGATAGAGTATAATCCTTTATATTTAATTTCTTTCTTCGTTTGTGTAAAAATACCTAGCCAGTTTTACATAAAACGTTAAATGCCGAACGCTTATTCTGCTACTCTTTCGGACTAGTGAAATGGGCTCTTAAATACCCTGTTAGTGGACAACAAAAGAAATATTTGTTGTGAAATTGAGACAGAAATGGAAAAAAATTCAAGAAATATTTTTATAGAGCTACTAAAAATAAACCACACTGTAATTGAATCGAAGCTATATATTAATATAAAAAATCCACTGAACCTACGTAGACCAAAGTCAACAAATCAAAAGTCAATAAGTATAAAAAAAACAATTAAATCGATATTTAAACAGCTTTTAATAAGTTATCGGTATGAAAGGTGTGACCAGATCATTAATATATCATCGATTCCAATGATTTATGAAAGTCGAATCGATGAGAGGAGAAAAAAAAACGTTAGGTCCGTTTAATTCGAAATTGAATGCATATAATAAAACCTGTGAAATAGCTGCGGACAGTAATTGTAAACGGAGAAACTGGAATTAAAGTTTGATAAAAAAATGGTGGCGGCCCGAGTTCAGTTACGAAGAAAGAATGTCGTAAATTTACAAGTTAATTGTAGCAACATAACAATTACGGTTTGGTAATAATAAAAATTCCGTTCGTTATTTTTAATAACATTGCTACACGTATCAATAGTAAACAAGATTGATTAAAAAAAGTTATTTATTTCGTAAAAATCCTAATTTGAATTCTAATAGTTTTTTTATTGTAGATAGATTTATCCAATTTTGGACCATAACAGTAAACAAAAATACTGACATAGTTTTGGTAATAAGAAAAATAAATATTGAAGAAATGCGTAACTGTTTGATCGTCACATCGATATTTGAAGCTTCATCTACACATAAAGTTATACCCGTCGGACTTACGTGTCAGGTAAAACGAACGACCGTCTAGAAAACTGACGATAGTTCTCAAGACGGACATCTATCTTGGCTCCCTCAACTCAACGTATATCACGTTTTACCTGTCCGTTGTCCCAAATTTAAATAAGTAGGTAGCTGATGATCGTATTTTAGCATTTTGTCCAGGGTGGGCCAAATTGGACGCTTTTAAAGGGAAATGCCCTTTTCTATAGAAGATACATGAAAACTGATATCAAATAAAAAAATCACTACTGGAGCTCAATTTTTATCCAAAACATGATGGAAAATGGCTCATGGCAAAAACAGCACATCGTTATTTGTTACCGTTTCGGTTTTTGAAATATGTGCATTTTTAATAAATCGCTGTAACATTTTTGCTATTCAAAATTTTGTATTTTTATGAAAACATTTCCAAATCACCTTCTTACGTAGAATTTAATGGTTTAAGTATACTTTTTTAAAAATTAATAATTTAAGAGTTACAACTGAAAATTTGACTTTTTATATAGGACAACCTGTATATTTTTAATTCATTGAAAATAATTTAAAATTACCTTTCCAAAAATAGCAAGTTTTTAAAAATTCGCCTACTTTGAATAAATAGGCTTTGAACGGCACCGGCTGTAATGCAAAAAAATTCTATATAGCTGTGAGCAGCAATTAAAAAATAATATTTGCTATGAGAGATGCAGAATTTTATAACAATTTACACTATAGTTTATATGATAGGGCAAAAATAATATGTACAGACGACATTTCACTAAATAGAGATAAACCACATAAAAAATACATTAATCAAAAACGACTATCCGCCATATTTTATTGACAAAACATTAAACCAAATAGAAACCCCAAATCATAAACACAATGATAACAATACACAATATATACTACTTACAATTCCATACATACGAGGCGTTTCGGAAAAAATAAGGATAGGAAAACAATATAACATACGAACATCTTTCAAAACACAAAATACACTTAGATCCATTTTATCACATACTAAACCAATCAATACAGAACAACGAACAAAAAATGTAATATACCAAATACCCTGTGAACGCGATAAATTTTACAATGGTGAAACATCTAGACCCTTAAATGTTAGAATTAAAGAGCATAAAGATTATTTAAGAAAGGGAGATTTTCACAAATCTAAGATTTGTCAGCATTCTTAGGACACAGGGCACAGAATAAATTTTAATAACGCCAAAATTATAATGAAAGAAGCGACAGTCTCTAAAAGAAAAATAAAAGAGGCTATTTTAATTCAATCTAATAAAAAAAATGTATTGCTCATGCATCTATAGATGTTAGTAATGTATGGCAATCGCTTCTTTGATTTTAAAGAACAATAGATACAACAAGATAAATAAACATAACATACCTAAAATTTAAAAATAATCATACAGAAAGTTTGGGGCGTTTTGGTTTTACCTTATTAAGTAATTGTTATCTGGTAGTAATTGTTAATTTTGAAGTTTAAATATCAAGTTAAAAATGTCATTTTAACAGAACGTCAACGGTTTCTTGTAGACGTATCTGTTTTAAAAAAAGTAAAGTGTTCTCGAATAGTTGAATTTAAATATTTTAAATAGTTTTTTTTCTTTATTCTTTGTATTTTTTTGCTTTCGACGACGGAAAGAGATAACTTTCCGAAACGTTAAGCATTTTTTTGCTTTGTTAGGCAAATTTGTATTACCGTAAACATAACTTCTGACAAGCAGCGTCCGTTTAGGTTTAACGCAGAAGTGTTTACAAAAAATAATTATTTTGTAGATTTTCTTGCAGTGCGGTGGCGAAATACCCATACAGGATTTTTTGGGAAAGAATTTACACTATGTTTAACAACAACAACAACACATTTAAACTATATCTAATAACGATAATAATAAATAGCAAACCAAGACATGAGATTTTGCTACAGGAGATGTTCGAAATGTCGACCAAATGTCAACGGAAACTATAGATTTCTCGCGGAATTCGTTAACTCAGTGAGGGTGAAAGATATAGCCTCGCATAATTGCCAAGTACTTCTAATTCTTGTCTAGATTATACGAGCAATTTAAAAATAAGAACCTTTACTCTTCCGCAAAGATAAAAATGCATAGGTGCTATGTCCGGCGGCCTCGACGGCCAACGGCTGGGACCTTGGTTAGCTCTTCAATTATTCTCGAAATTGGCTGCAAAAAATTGCTGATAACTTGCTGGAAAAATATTTTTTCGAGTTCGGAAGTGGCGAACTTTTAAGAATGCTGCATTTCAAAAGGGACTATAACAAAATATTAAGTGTGCTATATTTTTGAAAAGGTAATTTTAAGTTCTTTTCAGTTAATTAAAAATCAACTGGGTGTCCCAAATAGAAATCAGCTTTTCTGTTGATAACTCTTAACTTATGAATTTAAAAAAACCTTATACTTAAACCATTAATTCTACGTAAAAAGGTGCTTTGGAAATGTTTTCATAAAAGTACAAAATCTTTCACAGTAAAAAATTTCCATCGATTTGTTAAAAATGCACATTTTTGAATAAAAAAATCCGAAATGGTAACAGATATCGATGTGCGGTTTTTACATGGTTTTTACCATCATGCTTATGATAAAAATTGAGCTCCAGACACCGATATTAGTTTTCGTCTATCTCCTATAGAAAAGGGTGGTTTCCTTTAAAAGTGTCCAATTTGCATGCATACCCTGCACCCTGCACATTCGTTTCATGTGACAATTATGGGTACTGTAGTTTTTTCTAATCATAATTTTCATAAAAAATGCAATCAATTTTTAAAAATTAGGAAAATATATGTGTACATTCCCTCCTTACAGTTAAGCAAACAAGCAACAAACACTATTTGATTAGTCTCGGAATTGAGATTTCTAATTTCAGATTAGCAGAAGAATAAAACGGATAATTTTAACGAGAAAGACAGCGTAAAAAGAAGGAAACCGCGCACATACGCTATCTCCATCCAAAGACAATTAAACAATACGCCTATAAATTAAGAAAATTATCGGGTAGATTTGCCTGCGCGTAGCGGCAAACGAATTAAAGACGGTTCTCGTTAACGTTTGTCGGTTTTACGTTGGTATACCTGGCCGATTATTCGATTGTATCAGTGGTGCCACTTTGCACTGGGAGCCTCGCGCGCCGCATTCGCCTAATTTGCATGAGGCGAACGGCAAGAATGCAGTAGCAACGTTGTCTGTCGGCTCCTATGGTCTCTAATGCAGAACGAGATATGTTCCGAGGTAAATTAGTGTTGTTTCGGAAGCTTAAAAGTATAAATTCTTATGTATTGTCTGTTGTTATACGACAGATTCGTTATTTTCTTTACATAATTAGTCGTTAATGCAACACAACTC